GCTCAGAAAGGCTAGGTCACTCGCCCAGAGCAGGACAGCCAACAAGATTCAAATCCAGGCCTGCTCAAGTTCTTACCCACCAGGTTTTACTGTCTTTCTTAAGCAGTAAGTGCCAGAATTGTCACTTCTTAAAAAATCTGGTTACTTGAGATATCACTTCCCTGGCTGCAGAATAATTATTTGAGCTATGAAAGGGGATCTCGGAAGCCCTGATAAAGGCTCAGGAATAAGCAGTGGGGCCCCTGAGAGCCCTTGGCTGAGACCATCCATCCTTGAAGATGGGTGGAGAGAGGGGGAGATGGACCTCTCCGCCCCACAGCCAACCCCTGACTCCCTCCCCCTCGGGGCACATGCAGGTACGAGGAGTCCCATTGAGCCCACTGAGCCCTCGTCCCCTGTCCCCGCTCTGAGCAGTTTTCACATTAGTGACACATAGGGATCCCACTGGCTGATGCCGTGATGGCTCACCCCAGGCGGCCTCCAGGATCCCAAGTGTCAGTGTGTTCCTCGTGTCATTTTTCTACTGAAAACATCTGGAAGGGCTGGAAGAAGGTTCCAGAGAAGGAGGACCAGTGAGAAGTAGAGGGAGAGGGGCTGGCGACTGCCTGTGGTCAGTTGTCGTCCGTGGGGTCAATCTGGGTTTGGAGAGCCGGCGCTCTGGCAGGGCATACAGTGGGGGCCGGGGGCACAGCTCGGTGGGCAGCAAAGATCTGACCCCGTGCCTTTACTTGTCCACATAAAATGGGGTTAACAGTATACTACTGCCTCACAGGGTTGTCATGAGGGTTAAGAGAGGTAAGGCATTTAGCAGAGCTGGCGCATAGTAGGTCTCAAATCATAGTGGGGCGCATCACTGTTTTGTCGTTTCTGTTGTTATTCGTAGAATCAGGCTGTCATTAGGAACGCAGAGTCTGGAGTCAGATTGCCTGGATTTGAACATCAGCTCTGCCTCTTAGTAGCTGTGTGACCTTGAGCAAGTTATTTAACCTCTCTGTGCCTCAATATTGTCATCTGTGAATGGAGAGAATAATACCTATCTTACAGCAATTTAGGTGAGGATTAAATAAGTCAATATATACAAAACACAACCGGTACAAAACGTTAAATCTTTGCTATTTTTATTGTTATTATGATTATCATAATTATTTATAGAGGTGGTCAGGGGCTGTGAGCCCTGGAGAGAATTTTGGAGACAATATTAGGAGGAAGATAGAGCTCAATAAATAAGGTTACCTACCTGCACAGGATGGTGAGGACATCGACTTATTTAGGGAGGGAGCCTTTGGGTTGTTTATTTTATTTATTAATCATCTGTTTTTTTATGGGTGTATGGCAGAGAAAAGAGCACTGGGCCTGAAGTTCAGACACACCTGGGTTCAGAACACACATTGGGGAAGTCACATCATACCTTAAGCCTCAGTTTCCTCATCTGCAAAATGGGGATGGTGATGGGCCGAACCTCCGGGGGGCCTGTTGTGAAGATTAAATGTAAACATGTTTGGGAAGCACTTAGCTGGGTGCCCAGCACCTTCTAAGTACCCTGGCAATCTTAGTGAATATTCTAACGCTGTGACCGTGTGCAGAATCTGTCACGTGTGAGTGAGCAGTTCAGACACAGGGTTGCTGACACAACATCATCCACTCGGCCAAGATCTGCTGAGCTCCTGTAACGCACCAGGCACCCTTCTAGGCATGGGGGCTGCTGCTGTGAACAAAACACACAAGGGTCCTGCCCTCACGGAGAGAATGTGCTGGAACTCCATTAGAGTCATCCATAGAGGCTGAGAACAGGAAGGGAAAAAGACCTGAGCATGCTCACCTCCTACTTGCTGGAGGATGCGCCGGGCTCTGGGGTGTCCAAGAGAGGGAACTCTGAGACAGGTCTTCCTGGACCTGGAGCCTGAGTGAATGGGGGAGGCCACCAGGATCTGCCCCCATGCCGGAACAAGACTTCCAAACCCCTATAATTGTAGGTAAAACGTTAGTCAAAAATAACGTCCAGAGAGCCACACCTTCGAGGGATTCAAGGAGCCCCTCCCTTCAGCCCTCACAGACCCTAACCCTCTAGAGTTAGGGAAGGGCCTGCAGGTGAAGGGCTGTGAGGCTGGGAGGAGGGAGCTTGGGGTCTCGCTGCGGTGGAAAGAAAAAGCAAGGAATTGGGCAACTGACAAACCTGTGTCTTTGCCCTGGCACTACCTGTGTGACTTTAGGCTGCTGCTTCTCCCCGCTCAGCCCCCGTTTCTGGAATGCGGGGTGATGTACCCCTCCCTCTGGGCTGTCTGTTTGAGGACTAATAATTAATCGTGTACTTGCCGAGTGAAAGCTCCAAGAGAATGGCAGCCAAGAAAACCCTTGTTCTGGGACCTGGGATCTAACATCCCCCTCCTCCCACCCCCCACATACACCCCACCAGGGTCTTTCCTTCCCTAAGAGAGCCAGCCTGGAGGAGGCCCCTTCCCCTCCCTGGCCTCTCCCAGGCCTGGCCCCATGTTTTCACCTGGCCGATGAGAGCCACGGGGTTTATCGACCACTTTCCACGTGTGTGTTAGCTGACTCCTCCCCGGGTGGCTGGGTCAGCAGGGCTAGCAGCTGCCTCCCTCCTCAGCTTTCCAAAACAGAAGGCTGGCCTGACCCAGAAACAGTGGGACAGCAGGTGTGTGGGAGGATCACTGGACACAGCCTGGGCTACACAGTCCCATTCTGGTTATTACCCTGGGCTCCCAAGTCCCGCTGGCTTGGGTTCGAATCCTCAGCCAGCTGTGTTGCCCGGGGCAGGTGGCTTCACCTCTCTGAACCATGAGGATTCAATGCAGTCATGAATAACAGTGCTGAGCACAGGACCTGGTATACAGTCAGCGCTCAATAAATGTGAGCCATGACTATGATTATAAGAGGCAGTGCAGCAGAGGGATCCAGTGCCAAACTGCCTGGGTTCGAATCCCAGCTCTGCCACTTAACCAGGTATGTAGACATGGGCACGTCATGTCATCTCTCTGTGCCTCAGTTTCCTCATCTGTAAAATGGGAATAATAAAATTTTCTTCCTTGTAGGGTAGCAGGGAGGACTAGATGAGTTAACATACGTAAATTTAAAGTGCTTAGAGAAGAGCCTGGCACATGGAAAGTGCCAGAATCAGCTAATGCTTGCTATTTCTGTTTTCAAGCTGCACACCTCCCTTCCTTCCTACAGGCCTCAATGCAAGCATCCTTGAAATGAGAAGGTGATGAGGTCATGGAGCTTGTGTCACCCGCTTCCTCCTCAGGCTCTGTGGGGTGGAGGGGAAGCCAGGAGAGGAAGGAGAAGGAGGGTCTTCTAGAACACACCCACCAGCCGACTCACCCACAAGTAAACACAGCTCCATCCACACATAAACACACACTCACCGCTCCACCCACTCCAATCAAAACAAACTCACTCCCGGCCAAGCCACCTCCAGCCCAGCCCACCCACTCAGAAGCCTCACCCCACCCCAGCCCAGGTCCCAGGCGGGGCTGGCTTTCTCCTCTGTGTCACCCTGTCATTCTCATCCTGACTCCAAACCCAGCCGGCCCCGCCCCAGCTGTAATTACAGAGAGAGCTGAGGCTTCTGTGCCCAGCGTGACGTCAGCCTGAAGCTTCTAGCCTGATGATCTCACCCCGAGTCAGTGGGGGGTGGGGGGCGCCTCAGTCTCCCTCTCTCGGCTGGAGGGGGAGGGAGGCGGGGGTCTCTGTCAGTCAGCTCAGCGTGGATCTGAGATTCAGAACAACCCAGGTTCCCACCCGGCCCTGCCACCCCAGAGCTGCATGCACGGGCCAGTGCTCTGAGCCTCTGTCTCCTCACCTGCAAAATGGGGGTGGTGATAAGTCTCTCCTCATTGATGTGAGCGTTGAATGCCATAATGTCGTACTCACCTGCCACCGCAGTGATAGGTACATAGGAGGCAGTACAGGATGGTGACTTGCTTTCCATACTATTATTTTTAGAAAACTTTCTCATGGAGGCGCTGCTTAACTTCAAAACGATTTCTCAACCAATGACTCACTGAATTCCTTAACACCCCCAGCCCACCCCACCCCCCGAGGAAGCAGGGCTGAGACCCTGACGCCCACAGAGGGATAACGGCATGCCCCGAACGGCCCACCTGTTGGGGACAGATCAAAGATTGGAACCCCAGCCCAAGGGACCTTTAAGTCAAAGGATGATTTATAGATTCATTCTCCAAGCCACGTGGGAGGGGCGGGGGAGTCTAGAAAACAGGTCCTCTCTGGGCTTCGAGTTTCAGGCCAGACACCATGCCTGGGTACAGCACGTTTTGATAATTATCATTATTTACAGTCATAATAATAATAGAAGCTGGTGCTCGTTGTCACTTCCTGTTCCAGTTTCCCCATCTGTAAAATGGAGATAATGGTAGTAAGTTTACCTCTTGAGATTGTTGTTGAGGATGAGCTAATATTTGTAAAGCATTCAGAACAGGGCCTGACATACAGCAAACACTATGTAACTGAGAACTCAACATTGAAAATATAACGGGGTCAGTCTGCTAAAGGCTTTGCTAAATTGCCTCATGTCTTCCTCAGCACACATCCCTGAGGAGGCTACTCTGATGTCCATTTTGCAGGCGGGGAAACTGGGAGCTCATAGATGTGTGGGGAATAATGTTACTCTCCTCTGAGGACACTGAGGTGAGCTCTGAGAGCTTGTAAGCGGGGATTGCAATCCAGAGCCATCTGCCTCCAAACGCACGGGGCTCTGTCTCTCTCCTCCCCATCTGCAGGTCCCCAGGGGGGAGGCAGGATGCAGGCCGGCTGTGGGGAAGGTATTTCCAGAGGGTGACCTGAGCCCTCAGCCGGGCGAGGGTTATTAATAGGGCCCTGCCCGGGGAGGGCGGGCTCCGGGGGACGAGGGAGGGCGGAGCTGAGCCGAGCGTGGGGAGGAGAGAGTCCGAGAGGCTGGCTGAACTTGGACGCAGACACCCCTCCCAGCCCCCCGGGAGCCCAGCTGTTCCCTCAGCGGATTCTCTGGGGCTGCTTCATCACCTCTGAATACTCCTGTGACAGGAGGCACTTGCAAAACCCGCCTCCAGTCCCTAGCCGCAATAAATAGAAGGCTCCCAGCCCAGGAGGAGCGAGAAGCTTCTAGGCCTGCCTCCCTGGGTTTATTAAGCTCCTGGCTCCACTTGAGACCTCAGCGGCTCTGGCTGCCAGCCTGTGCGGCCTGGAAGGACAGAGACCGGCTGCTCTCTGGTGAGGCAGCACGGAGAGGGGCCCTCTGGGATTCTGCTGGACCAGCTGGGGGTGGCCTCTGGTGGCTGGAGTGTCTTTGGGGCGTGGGAGCCCAGCCTGGTGTGTGCCTCCGTCCCTGGAAGTGGATGGTTCAGCGTTTTCTAAAGCTGAAGAATAAGCTTGGAAGGCCAGCCCACCCACATCACCTTGCTGTGTGACCTTGGGCAGGTGGCTCCCTCTCTCTGAGCCTCCGTGTCCCCTCCAGCTCAGCAGCCACCATGGCTGATGGTCAGATGCCCTTCCCCTACACAGGCCGCCTGCGCCGAGACCCCTTCCGAGACTCGCCCCTCTCCTCCCGCCTGCTGGACGATGGCTTTGGCATGGACCCCTTCCACGACAATTTGACTGCCTCTTGGCACGACTGGGCCCTGCCTCCATTCTCCTCGGCCTGGCCGGGGACCCTGAGGTCAGGCATGGTGCCCCGGGGGCCCACTGCCACGGCGAGGTTTGGGGTACCCTCCGAGGGCAGGAGCCCCCCACCCTTCCCTGGGGAGCCCTGGAAAGTGTGTGTCAACGTGCACAGCTTCAAGCCAGAGGAGCTGATGGTGAAGACCAAGGATGGCTATGTGGAGGTGTCTGGTGAGTAGGGGGCAGAGGAAAAGGAGAGAGAACCCGGGGAGGGAGGTGTAGACTTCAGCCCTGGGAACAGCAAGGAGGACACTCGTATGGGGAAGCTGTGACAGCATGACACAGGTGACTTCAGGGCTCAGGAATGTGGCCACAAAAGTTATCTTTATAGAAAAGCTCTCCTCTCCCGGCTTCCAGCAGAAACCTTAACCTGACCCAGCTGCTGGGGCCTTTGGGTGCTGTGTCAATCAAAATCCAGGCAGGAAAATGTAAACCACATCGGAGATTTTGACAGAGAGAATCTAATCTAAAGAATAAGTTAAACAGAGAAGGAATAAAAGACAAGGAAGAAATGGGGTTCATTGCACCCCAGCATCACAGCAGTCTAGAAGGCGTGTTTCATGCTGAGCGATGATAATGTTCATACCCAGCACAGCTTTCAAGAGAAACGCCTCCCCTTGTCCCAGAGGGAAACTGAGGCATAATAGTCATTATAACGATACTAAGTGGTAACCTTGATTGAGTGCTTACTGCCTGCTAGGCACCACGCAAGGCGCCTTACCTGTAGCATCTTGGTTAATACAACCAGAGGTGGATCCTGTATGTCTCCTCTTTTTACAGATGAGGAAACCGAGGCACAGAGACGTTAAAGTAACTTGCCCAAGGCCTCCAAGGATTCAAACCCAGGCTGTCTAGGAATCAGGAGGCCGGAAGCAAATTGATCACATACTGAGCACCTAGACTAGGTGCCAAAGGCTGGACTAAAACTCATATTCCTTGTCCCGAATAATCCAGCAGAGGTGTCTAGTCCCATTTTGCAGCTGAGGAGGCTGAGGTTCAGGTGGGCCCATCCAAGGTCACGCCATGAGTCAGCAGCAGGAATTTTCTGGGCCTACCCAGGACACCAGGCCCAGGGCTGCTGCCACCACTTCCCAGCCCCGGGGAGGGAATGCTCTGGAAAAAGCAAAGGGGAGACAGAGGCTCGGTGCCTGGTAAGCAGGGCCGCAGAGGAAGAGCTTTCTCTCGCTTCCCTCCCGATTAACGCTCCATTAGGAAGAGCATGTTCCTGGCAGGCTCCGCCAGCCAGAAGATCAAGAAAGGCCATTGCAGACACAGGCTGGGCAGGGACAAGCCCCGGCAGGCAGGCAGCGTTGGGGGGAGTTTCAAAGCCTCGCAGGGCAGAATTATAAGCATCAGAGGCTCCCGAGGAGATGAGCCAGGAGGCACGCTGGGGCCACGTGCAGAGGGAGGAGGTCAGCCAGGGCTCCCCGAGCCAGGCAGGAGTTCTCAAACTGGCCCCACCACGAACCAGCAGGCTGTGCAAATTACGTAACTTCTCTGTGCTTTGTTTCCTTATCTGAAAATTGGGTTCAAGTAGCGACACCACGTAAGGATTGTTGTGTTAAATGACGTGATGCGTGTAAAGTGTGTACGTAGTGCCTGGAACACAAGGGATCAGTACTGTTATTGTGGTTGATGTTGTTGTTGTTAAAATGCCAGGCACATAGTAAAGACCCAATAAATCATAAATGGTAGATGCTGTTTGAGACCTGGGTTCAAATCCCGGCACCGCTGTTCCCTCTCCGGATGGATACACAGAAAGTCTTTTCACAGCTCCCAGCCTCAGATTCCTCATCTGCATAATGGGGATCATAATAATAACTCTCCTGCAAAGCTGTAAGGAAGATTAAATATATGCAGACAGTATATGGTAATAAATGCAGAGTGTCTGTAAAATGGAGCTAATAATAGGGCCTGCCTGGCACTCTGTAAACAAGGTGATTATTATCACCATCCTCCCATCTTTGTTTTAATTAGGGTTCCAGAATCTTCCACTCTGGGTTGGAGGATTGCCCATCCTCCAGGTTGGAGAGCCCTGTGGCCCCTCCAGGAGACCTCTGTCCAGCCTGGAGGGTTTTTCTCCATCCTCCTTTCTAAGTGCTTCTTAAAGTAGGGTCTGGCAGCTCCAGGCTGAGATCCCAGCTAAGTACCTTAGGAATCTGGAGGCTGTGAGTGAGTCGCAGAGCCTCAGTTTCCACATCTGTAAAGTGGGGTCATTGGGGGCTTAAATAAAAGACAGACAAAGCCTTTTTTGGTTGTAAAATCCTCACAGGTGTGCACTCAGCAACCTCAGCTTGACAGAATCCAAATCCCCTGAGAGTACATACAGAGACTGTCGTAAAAGAGGTTAAAAAATCAGATCAATATCAGGGCTCCATTTAAAAAGCAACTTTCAAAGGGCAGTCAGAAGTCAGATCCTGTCTCCCAGCCTACATCCCATGATGACAGACCTATTCTTCCTCAAGCCTTTGTGTGGGGCACTGTGCTCACCCCCTCCATGTGTTGGCTCCCTGGCTCTCCACGTGGACTTCCCAGGAAATGTGAGAGGATTTATTACACCCATATTACAGAAGAGAAAACTGAAACCCAGACAGAGTAACTCACCTGAGATCACTCGCTTCTCCATGGCAATGTCTGAAATTCAAAGTAGGGCCTGCTTAGACAGTTCCAAGTCGGGATGGCTGGATCTGCTTCTGATTGTGTGGCCTTGGGCAAGTCCTCCCACCTCTTGTTGGTCTTATGAGGTGGTGGACTAGATCAGCATTTGCCAAACGGTGTGCTTTAAGATGCCACTAGGCATCTGAGAAATGGAAGGGGAGGCGTCCAGAATTTTAGAAGGTGCTGGATGAAACAAAGTTATAAACAGGTGTCCTCACTGCAGGACTAATCAGAGCCTTGAATCTGCTAAAGTAGTTTATGAATCTCTGAGAGATCTCTTATGAATCTCTGGTGCTCTCTTATCTGACCACATACGAGTGTCTAGTTCCAGGGAAGTGTTGGGAAAATGCTGGACTAGAAGATTTCCATCACGCCTCACAGCCCTCAACCCCTGACATGTAGACGCTAACCAAGAAATGTTCCCTTCATGGGCCACTGGGCCAGGCCCTAGCCAAGGAAGGGACTGGAAAGCCCCAGGCCTTATTCCCGCCCCTTCTTCCTAATCCCAGGGCCTCTGCCTCCCCTGGAAACAGTACCTTCTTTCTTTAGCTGGGCCAATGGATTTCCCTGAAGTGCTGATGCCTGCCTCTTGGCACCTACATTGCTCTGAGGCATGTTGGGAAAATGGTGGCTGCGAGGAGCCTCTGGCTTCCTCTGGCCTCCAGATGAGTTCTTTTAAAAAATAGATTATAATAATTACTTTTTTTCTGTTTACAAAAATAAAATATTTCCACAGCAGAAAATATAGATAGGAAAGCAAAGAAATTAAAAATCACCCATAATCCTGAAGCTGCCCCAATAAATAGATATTCAAATAATATGCAAATTAAATTCAAGATGAGCCTCCTAGCAACATCCTCTTTCAACAGGATTAACCCCCTCCCCTGGCCCCCCCTTTATGGAAATCTGGGAGCCACCCCTGTTCAGTAACCCTAACCCTAGTACCCTATTTCCAGAGCATGGACAGGCAGGTTTAGCTTCTGAGAGCAGTCCTTTCCCCAAACATCAAAATAAACCACAAGCATTCACCTTCACACAGTATTTTTACAATTTACAAAGCAATTCTGTGACTCATTCTTTTGCTCCTCACAGTAACCCAATAATTAGGAAGTTGTTGTCACCCCCATCTTAGAGAAGAATAAACTGAGGCTCAGAGAAGAGAGATGCTAGGAATGTCAGAGCAGGGACCCAAGTCCAAAACCCATCTACCTGATTTTGCATCTTTGCTCCATCACTTCTAAGCTGTGTGACATTGAACACATCACTTAACCTCTCTGAACTTTCGTTCCCCATCCACAAAATGGTAATAATAAAAGTACCTGCTTTCTAAGGTCGTTGGGGAAATTAAAGGGTTGATATAGGTTAGGTGCTTAGAACAATGGCTGACAGCAAGTAAACGCTATATAAGAGTTTGCTATTATTATTCTTATCATCATCATCATCCTTTATTATTCCCAGGACACCGAGAGTGCAAAAGGGCTGAGTCAGAGGCACTGGCCTGTCCCCAGAGGAAGCAGGCCTCCGGAGGCCCAGGCTTTGGGGAAGGTACCAGGGAACAGACAGTGCTCTTCTGGCTGCAGGCCTGAGTTAGAGCTGGGCACTTGGTGGTCACGGACTTGGCAGGTCAGAATAAACTCTCCCAGCGGCAGCACCTTCAAAGAACAGCATGTTCTGGATAGCCAGACACTCCAGTTTAAAAAAACGAATTCCTATAAATGTATCCCTTTCTGCCCGGCTGGTGGGAGAATAAACTGATGCAGCCTTCCCTAAGTGCATTTTAACAATATAGATCAAGCCTTAGAAATTCTAGAACTTGGAATTTATCCTAAAGAAGTCATCGGGCTGGGTGCAGAGATCTAGCTACAAGAATGTTCAGTGCACTGAGGGTCTTTCCAAACGCCGGAAACCTCAGTGCCCAAAACCTGGGGGCTGGCTAAATGAACTTATATATCCCTGCTGTGAAATGCTGTGCAGCCACTAAATATCATGTTGTTGAAGAATATTTTCCGTAATATGGAAAAATAATTATAAAGTGCTAGCAAGAGATAAAAACAGGTTTCAAGCGTGATGTACAATATGGTCCCATCTGATAAAATATGTGATATACATCTGTAACGTCTACACTATGAAACATTTATGCATTTCTAAGTAACATAGAAAGAAAAATCTGGAACATATACAGAAATGTTATTAGTTATTTCCTCAGGATGATGGAATTATGAGTGTTTTGATTGTTTTTTCTTCGTTTTCTACCCTTTCTAACATACACTTGCATTGTCTTGTGATCAGGAACAAGTTATTAATAAAGGAGTAGTCAATGTAATCACCTATAAATTGTCAGTTTAAAAAATCTGGACTGTAAAAAGACACTATATCCACAAGATTATTTACATTCTGGACTCCACAGTCCCTAGGAAGGGTGCCCCCGTGTAAAGGAAGGGTCTTAGCCCTGGGATGTGGCCCCACAAATGAGGAGTGCATAACAATAGGAGCCGAGCTGCTCTGCTAGGCACTAATCCGGTGACTTGTTTAAAGAGAAATTAGAAACATTCTGTCCATCAAAAAAAAAAAAAGAGAGAGTGGGGAGGAGCCAAGAGGATCAGAATTTGTTATATAAATTGCAAGATAAAAGCCAGTTGAGCCCAAGTCTTCTTGTAATTTCATCTTTTTACTTCCTAAGGAAAGAAAAAAAGCCCTCTCCAGCTGCCCTGTAGGAGGCGGGGCAGGGGAGATTTCATATCTGCCTAATGTGTCATTTCTTAAGGAGTGCCCCCTTGGAGAGTCTGGGTGGGCTTTCAGCCTACGAAGCATTATTTCCAGATGTGCTGGGTACAGATCATGTGGCTCAGAATGCTATTCAGAAGCTGGAACAGGCAGAGGGGCGTCAGACCCCAGCTCCTGGCTTCGATTAGAGAGAGTTGGTTCAGAGCCCATGGCTGCCAGGCACCTGCTGGGCGACCCTGCACCCATCACTGGGCCTCAGTTTCCACATCTGTAACCCAGGGAGAAAGAAGCCCATCCTCAGAGCTAGAAAAGGGCTCTGTGAGGTATAAAGTCAGCTGAGTGGCAAACTAGCCCCACTTCTTTCCTACCACCGTTCTGGGATGTCAGCCTCAGGGTTCTATTGGCTGGTTAGGGCAGAGGGGTCAGATGTGAGACTTAGAAGGTACAGCACAATGTGTGGCCCAGTTTCTGTGATTTCGTAAGACTGGTACATAATTGTCTACAAACCCTGGTCAAGGCCTCCTGTCCTGTCATTGTCTATTTCACCTTCACAACAGCCTGGGAGGGGGCTCAGGTGGATCTACTTAGCAGACGAGGGACCAGAGGCTCAGACAACTGGAGTCTCCAGACCAATCTTCAAGCCACACAGCCAGGCAGGGACAGGATTTGAATCCAAGCCCGAGTCCTGACCGATGCCCAGGGCACATAGATGCTGACGCGTGGCGTTTCTCTCCCTTCCAGGCAAACACGAGGAGAAGCAGCAAGAAGGCGGCATCGTTTCCAAGAACTTCACAAAGAAAATCCAGTAAGCTACCTGGCAGTGTGGATTTCGGGGTGGGAGTGGAGGAGAGGGGGCTGCCTGGGACCCGAGATCTAGGGTCTCTCCCTCCTGGGCATCTCTCCTGTGAGACATGCCCCAGGGCAGGGACTTGAACCCTCAAACCTGAAGGGGAGAAAGTGTCACAGCAAACCTGCAACACGGCCCCAGAAAAGGGGGGCACGTAGATTGTGCTGTCTCACCTGCTCAGTGCCCTGTGAGGTCGGTATCAACAATCCCATTTTGTAGATGAAGAACCCAAGAATAAGAGAGGCGGAACGACTTGTCCCCAATTCCACAAAAATCAGGCACTCACCCACCACCTGGTATGGTTGAGGGAGGCTCTCAATCACCATCAGGAAAGGCCCACCCCTGATGCCCCAAATGCCCCAGTAGAATCTCCAGAAGGCTGCTTTGCTCTAGTCTCATGACCAGAAGGGCGTGCACCCTCCCTAGAGCATCCACAAGAATTAAACTGGAAGGTGTTCTGGCTTACCACCAGGAGGGGTTTTGAGGCTGAGATACTGGGATGAAGGAAGGGCAGTTTTGCTGAGGGGAGTGAGAAGGGCTGAGTCTGGGAGAATCATGTAAGTAGTGAGAAGACCCCCAGGCTGAGCCAATGAGTCAAAGCCACACTGAGGCCCAAATGGCCGTAGCTGTCGGGAGAAGAGACTCAACAGCAAGGTGCTGATGGCTAGTGCTTCACGGACACATCTTCTCTAATCAGCATCACTCCATTACGTGCACTTCTGGCTCCAAAGCCTTTTCCCCAATCGTCGTTGCATTTCTCCTTGGCAGCGAAGGTATGCAGTGGAGAGAAGAGACGTTACCCTCCTGGTGTTATGGGGTAACTAAGTCTCCCAGAGGTGAAAAGACATACTCAGGCTCCTTAAACTGGAATTTAGAACAGCCCCAAACAGACCCTTGAAGTCTGAGTCTCATGCTCGTTCCTTGAGCAAGGAATGCCCTTTCCTCGTCTGTAAAAGAGATGGATGCTGACTCCAGCTTTGTGGAGTTACCACCTGAGAATGAGAGGAGATCATGGCACAATGATCGGCACACAGGAGGTGCTCACACGTGGCAGTTTGTTATTACTATTATTGTCGTGGTGTTGAATCTTAGCTCCACCCCAGCCCTGGCGAAAATGTCCCGTGTCTGGAGAGATTGTGCTAGCTGAATCCTGACGCTTCTTCCAGCTTTGGGATGAATTCTGCAGTCCTGTCTCTCCCCCACGTGCCCCCTCCTCACCCGCCGGCGCCTCTAGAGTTCTTGGAAGCCCGAGGACACTTCCTGATAAGGCAAAGGCCAACTGTTTCTCTTCACACTCGCTGGCTCACCGCCGTCCCCAAGACCCACACCTCTCCCTGGTCCAGCAGCCCGATCAAACATCGCTGAGAGGAGAAAGAGAGGGAAAAGCGAGGAGGAGGGGGGCTGATGTTTCTTTCAAGAGACTTGTATAAGGTCTCCGGATGGAGCCACCGGCAGGGCAAAGCTGTGGAGGGGACTGAGCCGGAAAGAAGTCAGCAAATTAATCATCTCAAAAGGATGCCCTTTTTTGTGGATTTCACCATCTCTGAGGCCTCTGAAAAACAGCTTGCTGGGAGCTACTTGACCAGATAGAAATGCCTGAAGCTGTTCCAGGCAGGGCTGCACTTCAGCCGGGGCCCAGCAGCTGAGTGGGGCTAGTTGTCACAATACTGGACTCCCCATTGCCCTGAGCCCCCCAAGTGCCCTCCCTAGCCAACCTGGGCCATCCTAACCCTGTCCCGGGGACCCTCCTAACCTCCCCACATTCCAACAATTAAAGGGTCCCCAGGACCCTCCTCCATCACTAGGGCATGTATCCATCCATTCACGCTGGTCAATGTCCAGATGCGCCTGTTGCTAAATGTTCTGAATCTCACCTCTGGGTGTAGGGAGTCCTGTCTCCGTGATAAAGAGAGTGGATAACTCAGATCGACTTGCTGAACTGCATTCCCTCGCAGATGGGGTTGTGATGGTGAATGAGAGGATGTGTGTAAAGCATTTAGCGCGGGGTACAGACTCAGTGCTCAGTCCGTGGGAACTAATATTATTAAAAGACTGCGCAAGGCTGGAATCACACAAGAGCAGGTGGGACTCCTGGGACCTCCTGGCTCTGCCCAGAGTCCAGACACCAAGGAGTGGGACTGGAGTGCGGGGTGGCCCCGGCCCAACTTCAGGAGGCCTCATGGCCTCTCCCAGGAAAAGCTCAGGTCCTTTGAGGACAGGGAAGCTCCTTCAACCCGGCTGAGATCCTTGGAGATTTCCAGCCAGGCAGGATGCTACAGCTGCTGGCCTTAGCCCAGCACACCCATCCCCATGTGAAAGGCTGGATGAGGGGAGAGGGCGAGGTCTTGGAATTTGCCTATCAGGGTGGGGGCAGGGCAAGGACTGCAGATGGGATCTTTCTCACATCCAAGTTGGATGAGAGGACAGGAAGCAAGGGACCCAGGAAGTCATCAATGGAGGATGCTCGGAGCCAAAGCAAGCTTTAGTCTCTTGGCTCCACATTTTCCCACATATCTGTTCTGCCTCTTATCGACATCTACGATGCGTCAAGAGCCATGTGAGAGGTTTACAGGTTTAATTTTATTTCATCTTTAGAACAATCCTATAGAGTAGGTATTATTAAGCCCATCTAGTGGATAAGGGAACTAAAGCTCGGAGGGATGATGGGACTCAACTAAGGTCACACAGCTAGTAAGGAGCAGATCTGGGATTGGAACACAGGTCTCTCTAACTTCAAAGCCCATGACCTTCCTGCTCGGTTAGTGGAGACCAAATTACAGTCATTGGCATGCCATCTTGACTATTTTTTGCTGTATATGCTTCTGTTCCCGTACTATTATTTGCTTAAGACTGTTTTTTTCTTTTCGATCAACTCACTTTTGATAACGTTAAATTCCCGTCACTAAAATGTTCACTGAAGAAAGCGATCATAAAGTAAATTCAATGAAAACAAAATGTGGTGAAATTCTAACTAGATATTGTTGCCTGCCTAAGGGTCTAAGTCTTACATCAGCTCTTTCTTTGTTAAAAAGAGAAAATAGCAAGAGACAGAGGCTAAAGGTGTTCAAGGCTTGTTAACACTTAGCTGAGACGTTCGTTTAGATGTAAACAGAAGGACTGAAAGAGAATTGGGGAGGAATAACTTTCCCACCATGTGGGTTCAACAAAGAGGTCACCTGGTGAGGGATTCTGAACACATCTATTCCCAACTCTGGGCCTCAGTTTCCCCCTGTGTAATATGAGAGCATTGTCTTGAACAATCAAGAAGATCCTTTTGGGCTCTGATGTTCTGTGGTTCAGTGATGGCACAGTTTGTGCTAAAATACTCACAGCTGTCAAGGTGCCCACTTGGAGGGCAAATGAGTGCAATAACAACATAGAAGCTGACAGTTAATGAGCACTTCTTGTACGCTAAGCACCGTGGTAAGGGCTTTGCTTTCGGTATCCCATGTAATTCTCATACCACCCTAAGAGGTAGATACCATTATTACTTCCCTTTTCCCACAAGGAAATAGATTCAGAGAGGCGAATTCACTGGCCCAAGGTCACACAGTCAGGAAGAGTCTGAATTGGAACCCAGGTCTGCCTGCCTGCAAAGTGCACGCTGTGGACCACGGCTCCTCTGTCACGTGGTACTGGCTGCCCATTGGATTGGTGTGCGAACAGTTAAACAGGGTCAGCCCATCCCCCAGCAGAGAGGGAAGTGCAAACTTTTGGCCTTGTCTCTGCTTCAGCAGCTTGACTTGGCAATTGCTCAAGTTCTCTCTTTCTCTTCCATCCTTCCCAGCAGGCCCTTGTTCATCTCTGTGGCTCCAATTTGGCAGGAGTCTCTTGTGTAGATGGGGCTCATGTGGGTACAGGTTGCTATTCACAGCAAAACCCTCCCCAGCCCCTCCAGGAAGGGTCCTGCCCATGGCGAGGAATGAGCTAACCTCATTTCTTATATCTTTCATCAAGACTCCTGCATTTACAGCAGGTAAATGAGTGCAATGAGAGCCAGCCTGGACCAGGAAAGACCTATGGTGATTGAACCTCCTGGCTTCCCCCCACGGTCCTTTTTTCAAAAGTGTGGTGCCGAGGGGACAGTAGAGCATCACAATCAGCTACTCTGAGTTTGGAGACCAGGAGTCCAATTCCATTCCCACCTGCCGCTTACCAGCTGTGTGACCTTGGGCAAATCAGGTCACCTCTCTGACCTCAATTTCCTCATCTGTACATTGGGGATAGTCATAGAACTTGCCTGGTAGGATTATTGTTGACAACTACGTGGGAGGATTCAGGTGAAGTCCTTGGCACATAGAAAGTGCTCAGAAGGCATAGTTTTCATAATTTTTATTAATAATGACATCCCAAAGAGGCCATTATCACATTCTCACAATTCCAATAGCTTGTTGAAGAAATCATGTCCCGGATAGCCTCGTTCACCCAAAACAATCCAAAAATCATAAAAATAGCTTCAGAACTGGAACCAGATTTGGGTTCAGAAGTCCCATCTTCAGTGCTATCTCTCTCACTGAGCCTGTCATTCGATTTCTCCAAGTCTCTGTCAAATGTTCCGTGCAATGGGCATGTTAATTTCTACCTATTAACCATTCTAGGATCTTTATAAAGCTCTAACCAGGTAACGCCTATAAATGTATTTGGGGAATAAAACAATTATGACCCGCTAAGAGATACTTAAGATGTGACCCAAATCAGGGCTCATTCTCAGCATCACAGAGTATGTTGCCATCTGAAGTCTAGCCGTGTGGTCAGCCTGACCCCCTTTATCTGCCAAGTTGCCTATTCCACCATTAATTCCACCAGCAATGCATTTTGTAGTGAAACCGTCTCAGCAGGCACATGGCAAATGAAAATGTGTTATCTGCTGTGAGTAACACCTGACTTATGCTCTGTAAAGGGGTGGTGGTTGCGGCCATTTCTGCCAGCAGCTGGCCAATTGTGGGTGCTAAGGTGGAGACCTCAACCAAGGACCAAATATCTGGGCCACAGCTCCCTTTTAAGTTACCGTTGGAGCAGCATTTTACCATTTGCAAAGCATGTTCAGACTCCGTCTCACTCTGAGCTTCAAATACTGTGCAAAATTAATATTACTATCACCATTTTGTGGATGAGGAAACAAGTTCAGAGCAATTGAGTGACCTTCCCAAGATCACACGGCTAGAAAGGGGCAGAGCCAGGATTGAAACCCAGCATTGTTTGCCTGCAAAGACTAAGCTCTTATCAAAAACATTTTCTTTTGAATGAATAAAAGAATGTTTAAGCTATATTAAAATAATTAATGAATAAAATCTTGTGCTTCCTCTAGGCTTCCTGCAGAGGTGGACCCTGTGACAGTATTTGCCTCACTTTCCCCAGAGGGCCTGCTGATCATCGAAGCTCCCCAGGTCCCCCCTTACTCACCATTTGGAGAGAGCAGTTTCAACAATGAGCTTCCTCAAGACAGCCAGGAAGTCACCTGTACCTGAGACCCCAGTCTTGGCCCATCCTTGTTCCCTCCCCAACCCCAGGGCTTCTCTGATTCCAGGGTACATTACTGTAGCTGAACTCATAGATTTAGTGCAACTAAAGTGTTGGGGGTGGGAGTGGATGGACCACCGATTCCCTGGATAGTGTAGTAGTAGGTTTTTCCACAAGATGGCGCAATTGGCAAGTCGTGCTTGGTTGCGCAAAATGCTGGGAGTTTTTTTTCTTTACCTTTTCTATCTTGATGAAAATGTTGCACATTCTAAAGTTGCAAAGCAAATAAAATGGGACAAAACATTTCACATTGCCTCTTACCTTGCAGCTGATGCAAGGCTTGCTTTTCTCTGGGGACCTCCCCATCACCCAGATTCCTATTTTGGGCTCTCAGTTTCCATGCCCACCCCATGGTTTGGTTGAAGGAGCCCATTAGCTTACTCTGTTGTGTTTCTGCACTCCTGGCCTGTAAAGGGTTATGGACAGGTCTTACATCCCCATATGGGATTTATCCAACAGCCACATGAAAATAAACCATGCCTTCTGCCCTCCACCCAGGCATTACAGCATGTTCCCAAGCTGGCGCTCCCCGAGGACTCTGGAAGCCCCTCAGTTTATTCTCTGGCTAAAGCCCCCCTTTATTGTGTCTCCTGTGCCCAAGTTGGGATTTTTAGAGAGGGCTGTCTCCAGACAGCTCCACCTGGAACCAAGCAAAGGCCAGACAGCCTGGCAGGCAGGCTAGTGGTATTGTGTATATGGGTGGGACATGTGTGTCATTGTTATTTGAATTGTGCTGTTGTTTAGGGGAAAATAACAGTAAATAATAATAATAATAATAAAGGAGCTGATGTTCTTAGCCTGGTGTGCTTCTTTTGATAAGGAACTAAATGCTATAGCACTTAGATATGCAGTATCAATGAAGAATGCTTGTGGCTCCAAATTATAATGCCCAATGAATAGAGGCTTAAATGACACAAACATCTATTGTCTAACTTTACAAGAAGTTTAGATATGAGTGATTTCAGAGTTACTTTTTCAGCAGTTATGCCACCAAGAACTCAGAGTATTTCCATCTTTTTCCTCTGCCATCTCTAAAAAGTCTACAAGGTCTATCCTCATGTTTACAAGGTGGCTGCAGCAGCTCCAAGCATCTCATCCTCATATGACGATGTACAGGAAGAGAAGGCAAGGATAAAAAAGTCTTCTCATCTGGCTTCCTCTTTTATCAGTGAGCAAGGTCTTTTCCAGAAGCGCTCTCTCAGCAGATTTCTTCTTTTATTTCATTGACCCAAATTGGGTCCCATGTTTACCCTGAAGCCAATCCCTGGCAAAGGGAAATTGATGGCCATAATGGGCTTAGATCAATATTGATTTGTCCTCTGAGGCCAAGAACATGGCTGCCTGAAAAAACAAGTTCTACTAGGAAGGAGGAGAGGGGTGTAGCAGCTGTGAGGGCAGTCAACAGTGCAATGGTGGCCACAGACTAATGCTGTCAGAAGCACTGAACCCTGAGTGTAGGGTGGTAGGGAGCAGGGCTGCTGGCACAGTGCATCAGTTAGGACTGTTTCTGTGCTAAGTGCGAGGAAACCCAACTCAAACGGATTTAAGCACAAGGGAGTATTTATTGGGACACATAGCTGAGAAGTCCAGGGTAAAAGCTGCTTTCAGAGTTCTAATGACGTCAACAGAACTCAGTTTCTCTCTATCTCTTGGTCCTGCAGTGTCAGCCTCATTCCCAGTCTCCCTATTGCCCCCTGGCCTCCCCTGTCCCCAGCCCTCCACGCCCCCCTGTCCTCTCATTGTGGTCACAAGATGGCTGCAATCACTACACCCTCCCACATCCCAGTCCCCAGGGAGAAAAGCCATCTCTTCCCATAGCTCTGCCATATTCCCAAGAGTCATTCTTATTGGACCAGCTTGGGTCACATGACCATCCTGAGCTAAGCAGGGACCAAGAAATCAGAGCTTTGATTGGCCAGGCCTGGGTCACATGCTCCATCCCTGGAGCCAATGCCGTTTAATCCCCACAACACCCTAGGAAGTAGACATTCATTTGACAGTGAAGAGGCTGAGGCTGAGGGGCTTGGGTAGGTCACATGGTGACAGCACAACTGGAACCTAGATGTTTGCTTTCGAAAGAATTAACGAGAAGCTGCTGGGCTGCTTTTCAAGAGCACCTCCAAACCCCCAAATGACAGTGGAATGTTTGTCAGTGAATATTTGCTCAGTGAATATTTCCCGAGCACCTAGTCACTTGGTCCTGAGCCAGGAGCCAAGGATATAGTGAACAATGAGCCACGGCCACTGCCCACCGGGCGCTCACAGACCAGTGACAGAGACAGGCAGATGAAAGAACCTGGCTCTCACGAAATCCCTACTGTGTGCCAGTCCCGTGCTAAGTGCTTTATGTGTATAATAGACTTAATCGCACTATGATCCTACGAGGTAGGTCTGTTACTTCCGTTTTACAGGTGGGGAAACTGAGGCATGGAAGTGTTAAGAGCATAGCCCCAAATCTCACACGTGGTAAGCCCCAGGCCCAGGCAGGCTGACTCCAGGACCTTCACTATTAATCTTACCCTGTTCTGCCTTTCTCCCAACAAAGCAAAAGGTAGCTGTGCCTTAAGTGAGTCGTCCAGCTTGTGGGAAGAGCGGAGATGTGATATTTCAAGTTGGGGCTTTGCAGGGAGGGTGGGAGTCAGAGATGGCTTACAGAGGAGGGGTCGCTCCTGTCAGACTTGAAGATGGGCAGGTCTTAGGACTCGACCAAGCAGGGGTGGGGGTGGGAGGGGCCTCATAGGCGGAAGAAGGCACATGAGCCAAGGAGAAAAGTATGTGCCTTTTAAAATGCTTCGATGGTTCCCCATTGTTCAAAGGATCGAGTCCAAGCTTCTTAGCAAGACTTACAAGGCGTTATGGGATCAGTCCAGGTTACCTCTCTCCACCCCAGCCCTAATCCCCTCCCCTCCCTCCAGTCCCACCTAACTTCCGTCTCTTCTTCCAACCAGACCGGCCCTCTCTTGCTGCCAGAACTCGGAATACACTGCTCTCTCTCTCTCCAAGGATTACTAGCCCGCCCACCCTCTTCATGGGCTAATTCTTTAGACTCTCACCAGGCTAGGCAGAGCCCCCTCCCGCTTACCCCTGTCCCAACACAGCACACCGTATACAGCTTGGTGTATTTGTGTAGCCGAATAAATAATAATGACAACCATAAAAACCAAAACTGACCCTAGCTGCTCCGCATTCAAGGATGGGAGGAGGAATCATTCAAACAAAGGAGAAAATCCCTAGTCATTGGATATTTGTTAAACAAACATTTACTGGGCAATTAGTTACCCTCTGCAAGGCACTGTGCGGGTGTCGGGTTACCATTTCTTCCACTTGGAGAGCCTGGTGAGAGACTGAGAGACGGACGAAAGCAATGCTGTTATTCCCATGTTCTTCAGTTCCGGGCTGATGAATGGTGAGACCCTGAACAGGGAGAGTAGAAAGCCCACCCATGAGGCAGTACCCAGGCCAAGGCCATGGAGGACCACATTGATTTGCCAAAGTGAAGTAAGTAGGTTCTCTAAGGTGAGGGGGCCTGGCAATGTGGTGGGGGACTGGACTATAACAGGAGGTGACCAGTGAGGAGTGCCAGGGGGTGGCTGGACCCGGAACCTAAAAACGCTGCACAATATTCAATTTTCAATTCTTTGCATTGTGATATAAAACACACATGCCGATCCAACCTTTAGGGAAGTCTTATGCACTGACAGACGATTTGTGTGGGTGGGTGGTCTTGGGGGGTGGCGGTGGATCGAGGTTGGGGACAACCCAGAGCAGAGTGAATGGAGGGGAGAATTCTTTGCAGGCAGGAACCTGGAGTGAGAATGGGCGTCCTGAGACATCACTGGTCTCTTTGGCAGGACACTGGAAAGAGGGTGTGACTCAGTTTTACTGAAATATCTCAAAAGCATGGCTTCACCAGATACCTGGACTGTCCTCCTGGTAGACTGTGGGTCTCATGAAGGCAGAGACCACATCTTGTTGGTGTCCACTGTGTCTCTAACTCCTAACACAGTGCCTGGTGCATAGGAGGTATTTCATATTTACAGGATGCGTGGATGAATGTATTGAATAAATAAAATCCAACTCCTTCCCACCGCCTTCCACGTCTTGCATGATCTGGCCCCTGTCACCTCCCAGCTTCACGTCCTGCAGCTGCCTCTCATGTTCTCTCCATACAGGCCTCCCTCTGTCCCTCAAACACTGTGCTCATTCTCACCCCAGGGCCTTTGCACTTTCCATTCCTTTGCTCACGAACACTCTCCCCCAGCTTTTTGCCTCCTTCTTATCACAGTTTCCTCAGGTCTCCCCTCAAACTCCACCTTCCCAGAGAGGCCTCACGATAGCCTCCATCCCATCCCCGACTATTAAATACATCTCTGCTTTATTTACTCCAAAGCTCTTCTCAGAATTGTGTTTGCTTGGTTGCAAACACACCTGCATATTAAAATCTAAGCTGCCCTCAACACACGTCACATACAAGATACACCCTAAAATGTAAACTCCCAAAAGAGAAGAGATTTTCTTTTTTTTTTTTTTTTTTTTGCTGTCTTATCTGTTACGGAGTCTGCTTTGCTGAATGCAATGGTTGGTGCATCAAGCAATAAATATGTATTGAATGAATAGATGAATGAATGAATGGTGAGTGGGGGTCACCCTGGGAAATTAGGCCAAAGGCATGATCTTAAACCCCAGAAACCCAGCTCCCTTCAGTTCTGAGAGCTTCCAGCTTAAAGATACAAGACTTGTTATCAAAACAGATGGCTCGGCCTCTCCCTAGAGATCTCCACCGACATGACAGAGGACTATTGTTCCTGAGCCCTCACTTGGATGAGGATGCTGGGACACGGGACGCCCAGAACCCGCTTCCGCACCCCACTGCCTTGACCCAGCTCCCAGGAAAGTGTGATCCACAGCGCACTCCACTCCCTCCCGACCGCCTGCCAGCCAGCGGCTGCCGATGGTGATATATGGAGATGACTTGATTTGACCTTGAAGGGAAGAAACAAATTAATGTGTCTCGAAATCAATTCCAGGAATCAGTGGCTGGTGTCTCCTCCACCCCCTCCCCTTGGTGCCTTACGAGTCACGCATCATAATGTGAAAATCAATACCATCTCTTAAATGAGCCAACACCTGGGGCTGGCAGGACACGGGGCTGCTGAGTGGTCCCCTCCCACCCGGTGGCCTGGGCCTGGGAGTTGTCAGAAGGAGCGGGAGGCTCCAGGCCTGCTGTGGGCTCTGCTCTCTGGCTGCTGAGGGCTGGCTGAGTCACCCCGTCTACAGCGAGGTCACCCCACCTGACCCCAGCTCCAAGGCTTCCTGGGTACAAGCAGATGTGGGCTACCTGGTGGTTCCTGAGGGAGAGAGGAGGGCAGCCACATGGGATGGTATTGCATGGCCGGCCATTGTCCAAGGATGACTGAGAAATGGGGAGACGAGGAGACTCCAAGCCCAGCCCCCTCATCCAGCAGCTGGGGGAGTGTATATTTTCAGTGAGCATTTACTGAGTGCGTTTCTTCAGACTCGGCACCAATGCAACTGCATGTCCAGGTACGACGGTGCCAGGTGTCTAAATATTGAAATATGTCAGTGCCACTTGATAAATGGCACTGCCTGAGGCTCCAAGGTGCCCTAGCGTCCTAGCCTATATTAAGCATGTCTTTATTCTGATGCTTTGACCTCTTGGGACCTTGTTAACCTTGAAGGGGCTGCCCTTCCCAAGCTTGGCTAATTCCTAGAGATGGTAAAGGACTCACCTGCGAGCACACCTTTCTTATGAAAACCAACCCATCCAGAGCCCAC